CTTGAAGTGCTTGAAATAAGCGCCATTTGAAACAAAGTTGCTCAAATTTAACCACAAATAAGCACCACCATGACATGAAAGTGCAACAAAGTGGCGCCTAATTGAAGACAAATACGGTAGATATCTTGTGGTTTATTCCTCAAATTATTAACAGTCACTTTTTTCTATTCTTTCCTTATCAGGTAACACCGCTCCAGACCAGAAAGAACCCACCCCATTTGTTATTGAGTGGATACCAGACATTCTACCGAAATCAAAAATTGGAGAACTTCGAATCAAATTTGAATATGGACATCAACGAAATGGACATATTGAAATTCGTAGTGGACCTATTGACGCTATTCCTCCTGAAGCATAAACGTATTTTGGAAGATTTCCGCAGCCCCTCCCAATTTGTGTTGTACCTGTTGTAATAAATTAGGCTTTTGTAATTTAAAAAAAATAAAGTATGTGAAGTATGCATATGATAATCTACAAATGCAGGGTCCATTTGACACAAAGAAAGAGCTAGATACAGTGTAATTAACTTGAGCGTTGAATGTTCTAATTTATTGGCATCAGTGTTCTCTTTAACCAGGGTAACAAGGGTGTATTGCTTCCTTGAGTGTTACCAAATAATTAATTTTATTTCTTTAGTTGCAGAAACAAATGTAAGAAAGTAGTGCTACTGTATCTGTGGTCAAAATAAGCATTTTAGTATACAGCCAATAAGACTTTAGAATTATACATGTTTTGCTGTACTGCAAATGCTATGCATATATTTCATAAGCACAAGTATCATCAAATGGATTTCCTTCTTATTGCTCCCCTTGCTAACAAAATTCCAGGGGAAATAACACGATGTGATTTTCCTGTTTCCTCCAAGTGGTAACCTTAGATGAATTCCACTGTATTTGCTGCAAATTCTATAGTGGAGAAATTGGGCACTATGCCCAGTATCAGTTTTCACAATGCAATCTATACATGTCCTCTTGCATTAATTGTATTACAATAGTTTAACACAAAGGGGTGATAGTTCAGTTCTCCCAAAAACTAATTTTGTCAATGTTTCGATAGTTGGATTTGTAGTAATGTTATTTGTTTATTGAATGAGGGGGATGTAAATTTGGTTATGGCGTTAAGTCAGGTTCCTTGTATATACAGTAACACACAATTACAATGTTCTTATGAATATCGTTTATTCACTCCTATTTAAATCTGCATTGTTTACACAATATTGTAAAAATGTTACGCTCAATAAAACTGGTACTCGTTTGTGCATTAGTTCTCTTGGTCCAGTGTGTTTATCTTTCACATGCACAGTACATTTAAAGCTGATTGCTACAGGGTCATAGCATTGGGGAAAGTCTTGGAAATCATTTGGCTCTATGAACCCTGTGCCATGCTAAGACGATAATTTATCACAAGATTTTTTTAAATAGTGCCACCAGCTGAGAAGTACCGGGGTATAAACCCAAACAGGGGGGGGGGGTTGCTTTGGCTCCCTGATTTTGTGTATACATTACACAATAGGTAGAATTTTGTTGAATGATGTTGGGTCCTTTCCTCGAGGCAGATTTGCATCATCTGAACTGTAACCAGGGATATTTTGCCATTTTATGTAAATGTACAAACTGATATCAAATAATCATTTCCTCTTCTTTCTTCTGTTCTTTTTACTTTTGGAATTATCTAGTTCATCTCTACTCCTGGAGTAATTAGATTGTTCATTTCTATCTGAAGCTTTTTCCCATTCCGCATGTAGTTTTTGTACCATTTCCCGTGACAGAATACCTTCCTTGATAAGATTAGACGACAGGCCTTCTGGATCAATATTAACTTTTCTTGTTCTAGTTCTTGTTTTCTTCAGTACCCCTGATGGGAGATAAAAAGGCAACATCATTAGACATTTTCACTGTAGAATTCCCTGAGCTGCTGTATGTTTAACGTTCTTAGTCAAATTGTACATACCCAGTGGATAAACGGAACTTGCATGCAAGACAGGATCTGATTAGCTAGTAAATGTTAACACCTAGACAATCAAGGAACACCTTGTATGGTTCGCCAGGCATGGATAAAAGTTTTTACAGAGAAAAGACGTGTTTCAAAGAAAACATGCAAAATAATCTAAAAAGCGTCCATTTTGGAACATTTTCTATAGGATTCCATGTAAACATTATTCCTTGGATAACTTGGATGACAGCCAGTTGTAGCTCTCATAACGTATTTTTTTTAGCATAGTTCACCAAACAAAATATTGAGATATGATGGAATGTTTCTACCATACCACAAATGTAAACTTTTCAAACAACACATGAATGTCACAGTCCCCGTTATTTATTTATAAAATACTCATGTTAAAATAATACATGGAACATCTGCAAACAATTGAATTAATATGTACTCTATGTGGGTGCAACTCATCATAAAGTGATTTCCCTTAATCTGATAACTGAACATCTCAAGAGTACACAAGTGCAACCAAACTATGCCTCATACATGTATACATGCTCAAGAAACTGCATTCATAAATCTGGGTAAACCTTGATGTACCTTTAATAATAACTTGACTTTTTTGTTAATTCAGGTCTTCGTATATTACCAGGACCTGGGTTTGTTCCAGTATCACCACTATAATTCCCATCAAAATGTAGCCCTGACACCCCTCTACATTTTCTACTGAGACTGGTAATGGTATTACCCATCTGTCACTTATTCAGATCAAGGTCACGACCAGGTCATAACATCACTAAAAACCCTAGCATTACAATTCAAGCTTATTATTTATTCTGAGCATGCTCAGTTGTTCTCTCAGTGCACTTGGGAGAGGTAATTTTGGATGAAAATCTTGAAAAAGACCCATATAGAATTTTTAGATCCGGGAAAAAAAATTTACGTGTATATTCAACAGAGACTTGTTCATCAACCTGCCAAGTTTCATTGATATCTGCTGCAGAATTTCTAAGAAAATATTGGGGGGGGGGGGGTTTGGAAGGAAACCAGAAATAAGAAATAATAGTCACCTTTCGAGGTCGGTTTGTGGAAACCCTATATTTTTATTTCAGAATTTTAAACATTACAGTAACCCGACCGCTATCTTGCTGGATTTCAGGGATTTTTGAATATTTTTTTTAATGGTAGCAAACTACCTTAAAATTTTGAACTTTAATATCTTATTTGGCCTGGTGACCATCCTGTTTTTTATTTGAGTTGTACTCAGTAAATGAAATGATGTTTAAATTTATTAAAATCACATAGCTATTTTATCATGCTTCACAGTATTTTGACCACAAACACATTGCTATCATTTATGTAAGCATTTATGCTACTTCATGGTATTTCTCTTGTTACAGACAGAAATGGATATCATGCTGATCTCTAGATTTCATTACTGAAATTAAAGGGCAGTAGTCGTCGCGCCGCGCATGTGTGAGATTTATTGGTCTCATATAAACAAAGGTGGCGACTTTGACTGTTGCGCAGATCAACGAGTACGAACTGACACGTTACCAAGCTTTGATTGAGTATTTGTTTAGGTTACTGGAAGGTATCAAAGGAGTCGCCGACTGTAATTAGTGCAAGTCGCGCCCAGGTCAAACCTTATACTTGTGCTTTACAGTAGAAAAGCGCACTGGATTGTGGGAAACAATGTTTATCAACACAAATGTCGCACATGCGCAGCAGAAATACATCGCTCACTTGTGCATCTTTTTTTTTGTATCAGTGTTCCAGTTGAAACGTACCAACCACCATCATGTGCAGATGTCCTGAGATTTTTAGTTCCGTCATTGGGTTTTTATTCTGGGTTTTCCTGAACGTCTTGTGAGCTGTTTACAGATTTATCTGAATTATAATGTTGTCACTATAGTTATATTTTTACAGATTTCATGGCAACGTGATTTCAAAATCATTCCAAAAGGTGAAAACATCTGTCTTACTTTTAACAAAACTTGCATGGCATTACTAAAAAAAAAACAAAAAAAAATACCTTCAGAGAGTTTCTTGATGACATCTTCATCTGAGATGGTTTTTTCTTTGGTTTTCTTCACTTCAAAATCTTCAGCATACGTAGTTGAGGATTTCCCGGCGGAAGCTTGGATTAATCTAGTTATTTGCAGAACACCTTCTTGTATTATATAATCTAGTTCTTGTTGGATTTGTCTCACAGCTTCCCCCTCGGGAAACATGTCCATGAAACGATAACTGGGGGAAAATGAAAGAAAAGTGAAAAGTGGCCATAGAGGGCAGTCTTCATACTTTTGAAGATGCTTTCATCACCGGGCATTCATCATTGTGTGAAAACATTGTTATTCCAATTTTGAGTTTAACAAGCCTACTTGAACAATGAATTCACCACAGAAAAGTTTTATGACATTGAAATTTGTTTTTCTACGACGAGAAAAACCAGAGAAAAAAAAAGAAACCCATTAAGTGCTCAGCTTACCTGAACCACAAATATAAATCCAGAACATCATGGACTGCCTCCAAATGCATTAACTCTTTAATCGTCATCGGCAACTTAAGAGGCCATCGTATATGTTTACACAACCACTCAAACGTCAATGCATCGTTTCGACTATATTGCCTAGCAAACTATGTGAGAGAAAAAGATTACCGCAGTTGGATTAGCAACAGATAAATACTTTTTTGTTTTCTTAATTTAAATAATGAGTTCAGGGATCAATAGGCCAAGCTGACAAAAACTGAACAGATTGTTGTTGCATGCAACTCATAAAACAATGCCTCATAGTGACCACTGCCCTCTAGTGTCAATACCTCACAAAAATTTTCTGGGCAAATAATTTTTCAAAACATTTGTGGTGAGGCCATTTTATTTTATTTTATGCTTAAATATTGCAGTTGCTGAATAAGTGAAGAAAAAATCTGTCTGCATTGTACACACTGATCAGAAACATTTTTTTTGTTACGCAGAACAAAAACAAGACTTAGGTCGCTGAGACGTGATACAATGAAACTGTGGTACTGTAAAAGCAGAAATATTTATTGGGTTTTAATTTAGAGCACTTATAGCTGTCAGTGAAAAGAAAACATGAAATATAACAAGTACCTTACCTTGAGAAAAGAAGTACAAACAAACAGGTGCTTCCTGTTGATTGGTGCACAACAGAATGTGTACCTTGCTCTCAAGGCAAGAGGTATGTGCTGTATCATGTCTGCTAAAAACTTGAAATCATCCAGATTGCACACAAAATAATGAGGGTTGACTTCAGAGAGGTGAACAAAGATATCCTGAAATAAATTAACAAAAGTAAAAGTGAAGGAAATAAAACACTAACAATAAAATTTGACATTATCCAGCTTAAATTTTCAGGAAAGATTATTTTCTCAAGCTGCCATGTTAACGTTTATGCCTGGCATGACCATTTAGAGAACATTACAGTTCTGATACTGCCCTCTATAGTCGGTTTTAGATAGAATGAATAGCTGAATATTTAGAAATCTTTGTGAATTCAATCATTGGCATGACGATATTTTGTAAACAAATAAAACAAAATAAGAAACACTCAATAGCTGATTTCCTGTACACTGCGAGATCTGTGAGTGAAGGACGCAGACCACAAAAATCGAATAATTTAATTTTTAATTGAAATTTTGGCCTTCATTGCTCAATGTTGAAGTGCCAATCTTTGAAGAGGGGAATAATGCATTGAGATACCCTTATTCCATCAAAATTGATCATCATCAAAATATATACTGTAAAATACTTTATTTTAGCTGGAATTAACTTTCGGTGAAAAGACATTTTGGGTGTTTTGTATAGAATTTATTTTCACTGATTTTTGGCGAGTTGAATGTAATATATAGGGAAAAATTTATTTTCGCTGGATTTTATTTTACCTGAATCATTCCTTCAGCGAAAATAGTGAAAATTTATTCCAAGCGAAAATAAAGTATTTTACAGTAGTACATCATTTCATTTTTTTTGGGGTTCAATTTCATACATAATGTGAGAAAATGGTTTATTATGATGAGTCTGTTATTTAACAAAAGCAGCACTGATGGACTTATCATTCTAGCGATGATGCACTTGAGTGCCATCAACATTGCAAATGCATTGTGTTCTTGATGTCAGATGCGATTTATTGCAAGGACAACTTTAATAGAAACTTCAAAACATGTTTACCTATCATGAAATGCACGTGTACTGCTTTTAAAATTGATCGAAAAAGACTTTTAGAATACATTAGATATAGTCTCACCACTAAATTTGAGAAGGTTGCATCCGGGAGTTGATATGCAAACAATTCAATCTGCTCAGCCGTCGGATGAAGCCCTCCTGCCTCTATCGTCTCTACAGGGTTATCAAGTATCTCTTTAAGTATAGGTAAATCATCCGGATACAAAGTAGTCACCTCACCATCCGCAAACTTGGATCCGTATCGTCCAGCTCTACCCGCAATTTGTAAAGCTTGCGAGGTCGTTAATCTGTCTATTTCAATTTCCCCCTTTTCATTCAGCGTCGGTTTTACAACAGAGTTGAAGATGATTCTTTTAATGCTTCTGTTGAAATAATGTGGAGAGAGAGGACGCTTGATATTAGTGGACTGTAATCACTACAACTTCTAGTGAGGGCAGTTCTGTACTGCAGAAGAGCAGGACGAACGAACAGACAGACAGACATACGTACATACACAAGAGGGATACAGTCAACGGTGGATGTAGCAACAGTGAGAGAATCACAGACAGACAGTATGTGAGAAATAGAATTAGAGCACATACATAAAGATTCAGACAGATAATGAACATTTGTACAGGAAAATTGACAGACAATCAGTCAGACAGTCAGTCAAAAACTGGGATTGTATAGAAACGGATAGACTGACAGACCTAGTATATACAGCAGGCAATAACCAATCGTATATACATATATGAAATCATATACCGGTACAAGTATTTTATTACCATTATCTACCACACACATGCAAAATAGGAAAGGACAATAATCTGATACAATACTCACAAATTAAGACCCATACCAACAGCATCAGTTGCTACAAGTATTTTACATGGATCGTCAGGATCATTAAACTTCTGAGCTTGTGCCAATTTAGTTCCTGTGAAAGTATAAAATCAATAATGTCACCAGGTTTCATTGAATACAAGCTCAATTAGTTCAACCTACACAATAAAAAGTGTTTTGGGAATAAGAAATGAGCATGTCTTAACCCTTACCCTGCAAGCCACATGTACTTTTACAACAACTTGACCAGATATAGGTTAAACAAGCTTGGACGCTCCTGTCGTATGACCTCGGGTAAAAGCCATACCCAGTCCATAAAGGTTTTATCATATACCTTTCAGATGTAATTACATCTTTACCATGACTTGATGGGGCGTGATATGGGAAATTATTGCCCTGATGTGAGGACACACTTTCCCCAGTGTCACGAGGCCGGGCAATATGAAGTACTGGTATATAATAAACAGCACTTTAGACCAAACATCACATAGTGGCAGGGGCATGTACAGGGATAATATGAAACTTAATTTTGAATTCAATATTACATGTGTTGTAATCACACATGGCCTCCAGTGATCACAACAATGAAAAATATGTTTCATTTGGGGATTTAGCTTCAGTGCTCCAATTTATCAGGTTTTGTTTTCAAATCATCTGATCAATCTTTTTTCACGGTGATCACAATAATCAGTGTTCTGTATAGAAAACAAAATGAAATGCAAATTTAAAATAATAGGAGTGCAAGTATTACCTGGAGGTAGACTTCCATATATAACAGCACACGCTTTCCCCTTCCGCTCCAATTCACGACTTATTTTATAAATATCATTTTTACTAAAAGCTACTATACAGTCCCCAGGTTGAACATTATCAAGATTTACTATGAAACAAAGAAAAATTTAATTCTATGAATAACTGGAGTGGATATATTCATTTATATAAAACAATAATTATTGGTATTACTAATATCTGAAGACTATTACAATACTTTTACAGTTACCGGGTAAAAGGAGAGTTCAGATTTCTAAAAAAAAAAATCAGACATATACCATACTTAAACTTTGACGTAATATTTATCTAATCAGAAACAATCAACTAAAATACTGACGATATAAATATGATGAAAACCACAAAGCCTAAACAATCATTTTGTAAAATTTTTCTCCGAATTGTGAAATTAATAAAATTTGTCTAATACACAAGATTAGGGATAGAAGTGGCTAACTAGTGAAAAATTTGGAAATTTGTAATTTTACATATTCGTGATATTTTGCATTAAATAAAAGTCAATAAGAAAATAAAAATCTGGGGTTCCCAAAATTGTTACCATGGAAACAATGAGTTTGCAATATCCTTATAGCAATAAATTATACTGTAACTCGATTCTAGATTGGAAAATGAGAAAGTACATAAAACTATTTTAGGAATTGCAATTGCAATTTCAACTACTACAACTTCAATAGAGTTTGACAAGATTTGTGCAGACAGGGATGAAGACACTTATCTCTTACTTTACCAAAGATCACAGTTGAAAAAGAACCCCAAAAAAAGTATTACATAGTATTTATACCTAATGCTTCGTCTAAAATTGTTAGTGGTGTCAGTCGTTCATATCTATTGATTTCTACATCTTCACCAGTCTCTAGCATCAAGCTATTAACTAAATCAATAGCAGCGGCTTCACCGCATACGTGGATTTCATCCGCACAGACACCTGAAATCAAGTACAATAGGGCCACAATTATTGCATGTAATTTGTTTTTTCAAGATTATTAGAGTGGAATGCATGCATATGGAAAATAAATCACATGGTCTTCAACTGTTACATACCTCTTGACGTTTGATTTCTACAGAATGTTGGTTAATTTAAATTATTCACATCCCCAAATTTCTACCTACTGCAGTATATCTATTAGTTATGGATCTCATGTCTTTGTTTAATCTAGGAATCGCTGCCACCACCACCCAGGATCAATGCATGCAAAAACTGACAGTACCACAAATAAATTTTATCAGTAATTGTCAAAAAAATAATCATATATATATATATGCATTATTATAACCAAAGTATAGTTGTGTAATACGGTAATAACAATTTTTTTTAGCTCCGCTGTCGACTTTGTCGAGCGGAGCTTATCATATGAGTGATTGTCTGTCGTCGTCCGTGTCAATGTTTTACTTTTTCGACTTCTTCTTGAAAACTACAAGCCTGAATGCTTTGATACTTGGTGTATATGTACCTTAGGTAGACCTCTCTCAGATTTGTTCATTTCATGATGATATCTTCAATTCTCTAATTTTGGTGAATATTTTTGTCATTTTTAGTAAAAAGTGATATTTTCAACTTCTTGTTAAAAACCGCAAGTCCAATTGCTTTGATATTACATATATAGGTACTACATGTGGACCTCTCTCAGATTTGTTCATTTTGTAAAGATATCTTTAATTTTCTAATTTTGATGAATATTTTTGTCATTTTTGGTAAAAAGTGATATTTTCGACTTCTTGTTGAAAACCGCAAGTCCAATTGCTTTGATAGTACATATATAGGTACTACATGTGGACCTCTCTCAGATTTGTTCATTTTCTAATGATATCTTTAATTCTCTAATTTTGGTGAATATTTTTGTCATTTTTGGTAAAAAGTGATATTTTCGACTTTTTGTTGAAAACCGCAAGTCCAATTGCTTTGATATTACATATATAGGTACTACATGTGGACCTCTCTCAGATTTGTTCATTTTCTAATGATATCTTCTGTTAATTGCCATGTGCATTGCTAACAGCGGAGCTATCTCAGCCGACAGGCTGCTTGTTAATATTCTAAACAGCCTTGTAAACACATATTTTGGTATAGTTTGTAGCATTAGATCTGGTTTATAGTTGTAGCATCTACAATTTAGTTAGGCTTTTTCACACATGCATGTATATAAGATCTTGGCATGTCTGTGATGAAGGGTGTGTTTCAGAATAACTCATTGAATTAGAGTTACTATTTACCCAACAGAGCTCTGGTCCATGCCCATCCTCTTCCGGCATCCTTCAGCATTTGGATCTCATCGATGACCGCTACCTCATCTATAAGTATAAAATATCATTTTTAGTTCCCTAAAATACAAAAAGTATATAATTAAGACTTAGTAGAGTAACTTTTTTAGGTTAAAGTACATTCAGTCCCATTCCCACTTTGCAAATCTGTAAAGTACCATCCACTGACCAATAAAAACACCCCATAATGTTGAGATGGTGGATGAATTACGCAAAAATTAACTACAACAAGCCATGCATGGCACAGTCCCCGTTAGTTATCAAATTTAAGATATATAATTTTATTTATAGTGATATATCTGGAATATAACCATATCAGGAATATAATTTTTTAACATTAAAATGATTGACATTTGTATCTGATCGTCAAACAAGTACTTGTCCATATTGAGAGATATTGCTCTGGAACAGCATTCAAAATCAGCCATTTTGAATACATGTATATATATAACACGATGTATAACGAATATATAAAATTTGAATATAATCAATCAAAGCATTTAAGAGATATGGCTATAGAAGCCCAATCATTAAAACAAAATAGCCGCCAGTCAGCCATTTTAAATCCAATCATTAAAACAAAATAAAATGACGTGCATTTTAGTCCCCGTTTTCGGACTGCGTCCGAACGGGGACTAAACATCTAACAGAGTAATCTTGTGCTCTGGATGGTTTATGTGCTGAACACTTGAAGTATGCTTTTCCTATTGTTAGTACGCATTTGTCTATGTATCATTTATGTGTATCTTGCCACCCTTCTTGCACGGAACACTTCCTGGGACGATGTTGGAAATTGTTGTAGCGTCACTCTTGAAAAATAAAACTTGAAATATTACCAACGCAGGCAATTATCAACCGATTGCAATAACATCTGTTTTGTCAAAAGTATTTGGACATATATTGCTCAAGAGGTTTGACAAATTATCAGCCCCGCTGATTTTCAGAATCACGTGACGCTAAAACAAACACAATGTTCACAAAATATTAATAGTAGGAAAATACAAGTCAAGAGCTTTCTAAACATATATAGATTGTATGGTTTCTTGTAAAATTTATTCCGATTATAGGTGTTTAAATTTGTCATGCAAAAAAACTATCCTGCTACCTTAAGAGATATGGCTCTAGAAGCCCATTCATTAAAACAAAATGGCCACCAGACATCCATTTTGAATCCGATCTGAAAAATAAATGATGTGCATCAGGAACCTGTAATGTCCAATATATGTACCAAGTTTGAACAAAATCCATCCATAAATGCCAGAAATGCTTGATATTTTATGATTTTTTAGCACAAACATGGCCACCATTTGGCCATTTTGAATAGGATCGTCAAACCAATATATCTGTCTATCTATGACATGATGTATAATGAATATTTGAAATTTGAACATAATCAGTGAAAGCAAGTCAGAGATATGGCACGAGAACCACATTCATTAAAACATAATGGCTGCCAGTTGGCCATTTTTAATCTTATCTGAAAAACAAAATTATTTGCATCAAGGTCCCATAATGTCTAATGTATATACCAAGTTTGAACAAAATCCATCTGTAAACAGCCGAGAAATGCTTGATTTTTAGAATTTTTTACCACAAAAATGGCCGCCATTCCGCCATCTTAAATCAGATCGTGAAGCAAAATGATGTGCATCAAGGTCCCATAATGTCTAATGTATATACTAAATTTGAACAAAATCCATCTGTAAACAGCCGAGAAATGCTTGATTTTTAGGAATTTTTAGCACAAAAATGGCCGCCATTCGGCCATTTTGAATCAGATCGTAAAACAAAATGATGTGCATCAAGGTCCTATAATGTCCAACGTATATACAAGGTTTGAACAAAATCCATCTGTAAACAGCTGAAAAATGTTTGATTTTGATGATTTTTAGCACAAAAATGGCCGCCATTTGGATATCTTGAATCAGATTGTGAAACAAATTGACGTGCATATGTATAATATCATGTATGATATATGTGTGAAAGTTTGATTTTGATTGGTCCAGGCATTTCTAAGATACAGGTCCGGACGCACGGACGGATAGACACACACACGCACGCACACACAGAGGTCAAAACATAAGTCCCTGTTTTTCCGGACTGCGTCCCGAACGGGGACTAATTAAACACTGAGTTTGGGAAACTTA